GGGGGGGGGAAAAAAATTAGCGTCATCCGGAATTGCATAAATTTATTGACCCGGTAAAAAATTACAGCACACAATTTTATCCTATGATTGATTTATGTTTTTTTTTCTTGTCGTATTTCAATTTAGGATAACGTCTTTTCAGTTCCTTTTTCCCTTTTTTTTTTCTTTTTTTTTTTGTTTTCTTTTTTGTTATTTTTTTGTTATATTTTGTTTCTTCAAGGAGGAAGCATAAATATTACTGGTAAAAATAAAAAAAATTCAACAAAATTTTAGCCACTGTTTTTTTTTTTTTTTCTGCTTATCATTAACTTCCACGGCAATTGAAGTGTTAGTGTTGCTTTGGAATTTCAAAGTATATCAGTAATGAAGAAAAAAAAAAGACAGATAGCAACTGAACTGTTAATGTTGACTAGTTGATCTAGATCAAAGCACATAATTATTTGCTTTCTTTTTTTTTCATCTATTTTTATCTCTATTAAATTAACTTTATTGTTGAATACTGTAGAAATCAAAAAAAAGAAGAAAATTTTTTTTTAGGTATTAAAAAATCAGCTTTTTTTAAATAAAGATTTATAGTAATATAAGATTTAAAATTAATAAACCTCCATTTACCGTACATAATTTGCAGATTTTTTTTGTTCAACATTTCGTAATATGTGTTCACATACACTTTTTTTTTTTGTTTGACAACAAACTGCAATATTCCGTTAATGTTTTAGTAAAGTTTTGATAATCTCTTTCAACAGATACCTTTGATGGCCATAAAATTTTATTGTTAAAAAATAACGCAAAAAACTGCATTGATAGCGATTTGTTAGTTGGTTTATCAGATTTATAGTTTTATACAAAAATAAATTGTTGCTTAAGCAATTATTTGCAGTTTATAAACCAATAACATTATGTCCAGTTTTTTTTATTCTTTTTTTGCAGTTGTCATTCAAATAGAGGTTATCTCCTTTTCACACTGTTTGAACAAAGATAGAATGTCATTTTTTCTAAGAACAAAACTGCAATTATTTGATGGAAGTACGCACATCTGCTCTCACTCATTCAACTACTCTTTTCAACGGCAACGTTTTTGCTAACTTTTTATGCAACTCACTTCAAGTTTAGCTGTGTTATATTATCAAGTTTTTAGTTGAGGAATTGTTTGTCTTATTTTTACAAAGACGACTAATTTCAAAACCAATAAAGTGACCAATCTTTTTTTCCCAAGTATCTTCAGGTCTGTCCTATCGTATACTGTTTTGTTTGGAGATAGACAGAAGTTGAATTGTCGGTTTGTGCAGACAAACACTATAAAGTTCATATTACGGTTCTTTTTATTATTCTACAAGG